CCACTCCGCCAGCATCTGGCCCCGCCCCCCGGCCAGGCCCCGAGCTTTATTCTCCACGTCAAGCCGGGGCAGCTGCCCTAGCACCGCGCCTTGCGATCTGTTTAAGTCACCGTTATGCAGAATGTCACCTCGCCCCTTCCCTGCAGGCCCAGGGACAGCCTCGGCTCTCCTCCCACAGAGCTGGGTAAAGGACGCCCATAGGTGACCTTTGTTTTGGTCACTGAACTCACCTTAGCACCTGGTGGGAGCCTCATTTGGGTTTTGTCAATACACAGAGTTTGTCAGAATACCCTGATCTACGGATTTCCTGCTCAAACAGACTAAAGCCAAAGCCCTTACAATGCCTTTACATGACCTCGCTCAAATTCCCCTTTTACAACTTCTGTTTCTCTTTTTTTTACTTGTTCTTAATATTTATTATTATTATATACACCACATAAATATGCACAACATTACTATAATAAAAATATACACAACAAAATTTAGGCACAATGTTGGGCAACCCACCACCACCACTTCCAGAAATATTTCATCATCCCAAATAGAAACTTTGTACCCGTTAAAAACATCCCTCTCCATCCTTCCTCCCCCCAGGTCCTGGTAATCTTTTTTAAAAAATTTTATAAAGAGAGGAAGGGAGAGGGAGAGAGAAACATCCATAGGTCGCCTCCCATTCACACTACAACCTGGGATCAACCCTGAGTATGTGCCCTGACCGGGAATCAAACCAGTGACAGCTCAGTGTACTAGGTATGATGCTGCAACCAACTGAGCGACAGCCAGGGCAAAGCCATTTGATTTGCAAGTTGCCAAACAAGAAGAATGAGAAGCTATAGGTTAAAACCCAACCCCCCCAGTGGCTTTTAATAAACAGTTTTTAATGGCAAAGACTGAGGTTTGGGGTTAGGGGGAAGAGGCTGGTATGTGCTTCTGCAGGCTTTGATTGCAAAACTGTGTTTTTTTTAAGATTTTATTAATTTTTAGAGAGAGGGAGGGAGAGAGAGATAGAAACGTTGATGTGAGAGTGAAACTTTGATAAGCTGCCTCTGGCAGGCCCCCTACTGGGGCCCAGGCATGTGCCCTGGTCAGAGCTGAACCAGCAACCTTCCAGCCCACCGGAGGACACCCAACCAACTGGACCATACCAGCCAGGGCTGCTTGCAGAACTTTGGAACTTGGTCATTAAGGAAAGGGGCTTCAGCACCGGATCTTCCTGGAAAATTGACCCTTTACTTCTGAAAGGGTTCCGGCCATGCTCTGGTCCTTTTGGTAGCGAACTAAAGGAGTGCGTTTGCGTGTGCGTTTCAGAGCCCCACAGGGAATGGGCTTTTGCAGCAAAGAAAGGAAGGGCCTATTTCAGGAAGTGGCCCTGCCTGGAGACAGATGAGCTAATGCTCGAAGACCTGGCTCGCCGATGGCTTCCAGGGCATGGATTATACAGGGGAAAATCACTCATCGTGGTGACTAAAGGAGTCAGGGTCACTGGCAAGGTCGTTGTCTCTACTGATTGCTTGGTGCTAGGGCAGGGGCGTAGCTGGTCAGTGCATCTGGCCCTGATGTCAGCCACGGTGTCCTTCCATTGCTTTTCCAGCCCTGGAGCTAAAACACAACCGAGGCCTTGATGTTATCTCTAGTCTGACCTAAGCCCTTGTTTTGTTCTAGGTTCTTGGATGCTGACCATAAGGGCTTGATCATTAAGGAGTGCTGGTGCCCGGGAGAAGGAGGCCAATGAGTCAGGCGCTGGATGAGGCCAGCGTGAGCCAAAAGGAAAGGAGAAAAGATCATATTTAAAAATGAAGTTTCTCCTGGCTGGGTATGGCTCAGCGGTTGAGCGTCAACCTAGGATCCAGGCGACTGGGGTTCGATTCCCGGTCAGGGCACATGCCCGGGTTGCAGGCTTGATCCCCAGTCAGGGGCGTGCGGGAGGCAGCCGATCAATGACTCTCTCATCATCGATGTTTCTATCTAGGTCTCTCCCTCTCCTTTCCTCTCTCTGAAGTCAATAAAGATATATTTTAAAAAAATTTAAAAATGAAGTTTCTACTTCATTACACTTTGGTTCCATGAGGGGAGGGGGAGGCTTTGGTTTGGGATGCAGCTGGAGGTCAGATTTCTCTCCTCTGTACATGCTTGGGCTTCATGCCTTGCAGTTTTTCTCTGTTGACTCTGAAAGGCAACTAACTCAGGACCTTAGAAACAGGATAGGACTTTGGCCTGGCTCTGTGGTTACAGCCTTTAGCTCATGGGGGCTGTATCCACTACCCACTTCGGGGATGCTCTCGCACCCATGGTAAAAATGTATTCTAAACCAGGAAAATTACCCCTTGGTCTTTCCGTGAAAAGGCTTATTAGATGGAGTCTCCATTGGAATGAAAATGCCTTTGAAGGTCCTACTCTTCAATGGCCAGAGGGGTCTTTTCATTTGGAAAAAACTCTTACATTTGAACTATGTTTTAGAGAGCTCTAATCCTAACTAAGTGTCCTATTGGAACCTTATATCAAATTGAAAGAGTGACACAAAAGAGCACTCCAACTAGCCTTAGGGCACCCCTCAAAAAGATTAAAAAGCAGCCCTGATTGGGTAAAGCATCATCCCAAAGCACCAAGGTTGTGGGTTTGATCCTGGTCAGGGCACACACAAGAACCAACCAATGATGCACCAATAAAGTGGAACAGCAAACTAAGGTTTCTCTCTCTCTCTCTCTCTCTCTCTCCCCCTTTCTCTCTTTCTAAAACCATTTTTTAAAATGAAAATGATACCAGCTTTTACCTTTGCCCATGCATTACCTTTACTGGCAGGTCTTAATGTCTTCATACCTTAGAGTTACTGTTTAACTTTGTTTCATTTCACCCTGAACCTCCACTTATCGTTTCTTGTAGTACAGGTCCAGTGGTAATGAACTCCCTCAACTTTTGTTTATTTGGGTGGCTAGTGGTTCCTCTGTGTTAGGGAGAAGGGCGCTTGGAGAGTGGGTGCTAACATAGATTATTTTGAGACAAAACATTTGAGAATCAACAAATGTGGGCGAGGCTTTCTCTGAACTTCCCTTATCTGCCTAAAAACAGATCCTCAAAAAAATAAAATAAAATAAAATAAATAACTCATTTGTCATAAATAGCCTCCCTAGGAGTTTCATTGCCCAGGGAAGATTGACTCTCATCCCAGGAGACGAGACTAGTGGTCAGCAGCACACCCAAGACAGACATTGTCCCTCAAATCACCTGTCCCTAAGGGCTCATTTCTCTTTCACANTCTCATCCCAGGAGACGAGACTAGCGGTCAGCAGCACACCCAAGACAGACATTGTCCCTCAAATCACCTGTCCCTAAGGGCTCATTTCTCTTTCACACAAAAGATTATTTTTTCTCCCATAAGTGGCCTCTCTCTCCCTCCCTTTCCACATTGAGATGGTGTGTAAATTCTCAAATATCGCTGATTTGGGGGGCACTCGCTTTGTATTTCTGATACCCCCTTGATCCTGGACTGAAGCAATTACCGAGGCGGCACAGCTGTGAACAATGGCTTAAGATATCACCTTGTCAAGACCAAGATGCAAGGCCGGGCAGGCCTAACAGTGAGTCAAGATATCACCTTATCAAGACATCCTCAGGGGACCAAGATCAAAAGAATGACTTCCAGGACTGCACATAGCTGCGTTCCGTTCCGGCCTCAGTTTGCCGCATAGAACCCTATCTCTGAGGCTACTCCATTAGACAGGTTTTGGATGCTCGTAGGCTCCCTGTCTTCTTGGTTGGCGGCCTCCTCAATAAACACCTTATGGGCCAATGTCTGGGCTTTTGACAGCATCTTCACTGTCTTGAGACAAATAGGTAAGGCTCTGCCTCCCACCTAAACTACCTACAAGAATTTGAGTTGGAGGCCTTGCCCTTGAGAGAGGATAACTTCTTTTGACATGTTTACTGAAGATCTGCTCTTACCATCCTGCAATGATCTTTTGAAGCCCCAAGGCAACTTACCTCTTCTCTGGCTCCAGATGTTCCCTTTTTATCTCCAAGCTACTCCTGAGTATGGGCTCTCTGACTCTCACAGGTATGCAGGGGTCCCGTACCCAAGTATGTATTAAATTTGGCCATTTTCTCGTGCTAATCTGTCTCATGTCTATTTGGTTATTAGGTCACCTGGGGATGTCTTGATAGGTGATATCTTGACTCACTGTTAGGCCTGCCCGGCCTTGCATCTTAATCTTGATAAGGCGATATCTTAAGCCATTGTTCACAGCTGCGCCACCTCCTTAATTAACTGCTTCAGCCCAGGATCACGGGGACTGTAGGGTGCAAAGGCCTAGGAGAAAGAAGCCTAAGGAAAAAAAACCTTAAATCCCTGCTTACATAAGTATATGTGCTCTACAATTTTATAAGTAATATCATTATATTTCAGATTAACCCAGGTGCTCAATCTTTGGAAATTATAAGTGCCCTCTGATTAGGTAAATTAGTTGATATCTATCAACCTTATACTCTGCTAAATCTTAGTCTTAAATCTGTCCTATTGCTGTAGTGCTAAAATCTTTGCTTCTGCCACACAGCGCCTGTCCGTCTTGGGGCAGACAAACCGGCAGGTGCTGGAAAAGAGAGGCAGACATTGTTGACACCACCACGAAATCAGACAAATGACTCTGAAAAGTAAAAAGACCAGGCAGGCTGCCTTTATCCCAGCCCAGCTGGGCAGCCAGGAGGGCGGGCAGCGAGCTCCTTAGTAAAGAAGCCTTCCCCTTGTTTAACATGGGAAAGAGCACCTTTGACTTTCTGTAACTTATGCTCTGTGTGTTCAGAGTTATCAGTTAGACTGAAGCGGCTCCTACCCTTAAAATCATCACACCCCTGATTGTGCCTGAGTAACAGGTAATCAATGGCGGCTCCACGTTCCCTGACCCGCCCTAGTTCCCTGCCCTCACTGGAGTGACAAATACAGTCACAGAGATATATTCAGCCTGGCTGGACAGATGGACTCCCCATCGCAGTTCTCATGTAGTGAGCTCCCGGTGCCTCCGTGGGAACGGGCTTCTGGGTGACATGAGTCAGGCACCGAGGGCACACGGGCTCCAGGGCTGTTCGTGGGTACATAAGAGATGCTGTTATTCCACATAATAAAACCAACCGGGGCAAGCTGTACATGGCCATTTCCATAGGATGCGGAGGAATTCTCCTTTGAGCAGTTCAATTATCATTCACTTTGTAACGACAGACAATTTCTCGGGCATCCTGGAAAATAAACACATTCTCCAAAAGAGGCTACTCCTGCTACCTTAACAGAGAACATAGTGCCGTCTTTCTTAGCGACTACCGGACCCAGGCCGTATCAACCATCACAGGTTATATCCTTTGGTATATATTGGAATGGGGTAGAATTCCTAAGAGTCTCTAGTGGGGTCCCGACCCCTACTACACGCGAGGCAAAAGTCTGCTCAACACAGTTTCCTCCTGAGGTACAAAAGTCAGATGCATTCAGTATTTTCCTGCCTGGGAAACCCGAACATCTCACCCCGTTGAAGGGGCCTGAGTCTGCCCCGACAGGGACAGGAACACAGAGGAAGCGGCACATCACTGTTTCCTTAACACGGTCTCAAGGGGCGCGGTGGCTGGGCCCGCAGGGCCTTCGGAGCCTCTGCCCCGGGTGTGATGGAGCCAAGGCCTTATCCCGCCGGCTCCACGGCCCAGCTAGGGGCTCAGTGTTGCGTGCCAGGGTCCGCTCCACTTCTCTTCTAATTCATCTCCAGGTGACCCGACCTCCCACGTCTACAGGAGAACTCGGTCCCCAGCCTAAAAGGAATGAAGAGAACCTGGCAGGGGAGAGACCCGAGGGGAAGCAAGATTGCGAGCAGTTGCTAAGTGTTTATTCAAATGCTCTGCATATTTCTGCATAAGCGCACCTTGGTCTATGCGGGTGTTTCCTGTCTCAAGGAGGGGCAATAGTTTAGACATGACGGCAGTCTTAGCCGTTTTATCTGCAAAATTATTACCTCTTGGTGGCCTGCACAAGGCATGACTGCTACTGGAGCCAGAAGGTGTATGGCATCTGGCAAATGTAGAATCTCTTGGGAATTCTTAATGTCTTTCTTGTTAGCAGTTAATAGTCCCCTCTCTTTCCAAATAGAGCCAGGTGCGTGTGAAACTAAGAAGGCGTACCTGGGGTCAGCATACACATTGACAGTCCCACCCCAGCCATCTCAAGTGCTCGGGGAAGGGCATTCAGTTCTGCTTTCTGGGCTGATGTTCCTGGCGGTAAAGCCTGGGCTTCTGGTCCTGAGCCCCTGGTCACCCCCGCATACCCTGCTTGTCACTCACCCTTCTGAATATAACTGCTGCCATCTACAAATAGAGTCCATTCTGCACCATCTGTGGGAGAGTCCTTAAGATCAGGTCTGCTGGAAAATACTTCCCCTAATGTTTCTACGCAGTCATGCATTAAGATAGGTTCTTTTAGCTCTGGCAGTAAGGTAGTTGGATTCAATGTAGTAACAACTTTTAATGTCACATTGGGCTTATCTAAGAGGATGCCTGATATTTCCCCATCCTTCCTGCACTTAGCCAAAAGTTTCCTTTTTGCTGTAGAAGTGTGACTACCTGATGAGGAACATGAACCTTGGTTGATTTGTCCTGTAATAACTGGCAAATAGCTGCTACTGCCCTCAGGCAGGGTGGTCAGCCTTGGGCAGTAGAGTCTAAGTTTCCAGATAGATAAGCAACTGGCAGGCCAGCTGACCAGTTTTACCATTAACTTTGTTGCACTTTTTTTGGATTCAGTGTTATGGAGAGCCATAAAAGCCTGTACATGGGGGATCTCTTCCCATTTTCCAGATCATTGACAAAACAATTCAAGCTGTAGGATAGTATAATAATTCAGACATCCAAACAAAGGCTATCTTTCCCTTAAATCTAAATCAGACATAGGCCAAACAGTATTACAATAGAAAACCATCTTCTTCTTCGTCATAGAGTCATAAGCATAAATTGACCAAACAGCCAAAATGTGGTCCAACCGGCTGCCAGGTGGGGTTGCCAGTGCCCTTCCCATGCTTTCTGAGGTATACTGACAGGGGCACTTATAATTGCCAAAGATTGAGCACCTGGATTAACCTGAAATATATTACTTATAAAATTGTAGAACACATGCACTTATGTGAGCAGGGATCTAAGTTTCTTTTTTCCTTAGGCTTCTTTGTCCTAGGCCTTGTACCCTGCACTCCCCTTGATCCTGGACTGAAGCAGTTAAGGAGGTGGCGCAGCTGTGAACAATGGCTTATCAAGACTAAGATGCTTGGCAGCGCAGGCCTAACAGTGTCAAGATATCACCTTATCAAGACATCCCCAGGGGACCAAGATCAAAAGAATGACTTCCAGGACTGCACATAGCTGTGTTCCATTCCCAGCTGCAGCTTGCTCCGAAAAACCTTATCTCTCAGGCCTCTCCTTAAAACATGTTTTGGATGCTCTTAGGCTCCCTGTCTTCTTGGTTGGCGGCCTCCTCAATAAACACCTTATGGGCCAATGTCTGGGCTTTTGACAGCATCTTCATTGTCTTGAGACAAATAGGTAAGGCTCTGCCTCCCACCTTAACTACCTACAAGAATCTGAGTTGGAGGCCTTGCCCTTGAGAGAGGATAACTTCTTTTGACATGTTTACTAAAGATCTGCTCTTACTATCCTGCAATGACCTTTTGAAGCCCCAAGGCAACTTACCTCTTCTCTAGCTCCAGATGTTCCCTTTTTATCTCCAAGCTACTCCTGAGTATGGGCTCTCTGACTCTCACAGGTATGCAGGGGTCCCATACGCGAGAATGTATTAAATTTGGTAATTTTCTCTTGCTAATCTGTCTCATGTCTATTTGATTATTAGGCTCAAGTAGCAGTCATGCATTGTGCAGGCCACCAAGAGGTAATAATTTTGCAGATAAAACGGCTAAGACTGTCGTCATGTCTAAACTGTTGCCCCTCCTTCCAGCTGTTGATTTAACTGAATTCAATCCAGACTATTCGGACCAGGACTTACAAAGAGCCCAAAGGTGGGGCTACACTCAACTACAGTCAAAGCTGGAGGAGGAATCAGAACGGAGTTATCCTCCTTCCAGAAAAATTAGTAGAACCGGTGCTAAAGTATGGACATCGGTCATCACATTATGGAAGGGATGCCCTTCTAGAGCACACAAGGCCACGGATAACGGGCCCCAGGTTGAACAAGATCGTGCGACAAACTGTCACACTGTATCACTTGCCAGAGGAACCACCCAAAGAGTCTTCCTAATGCACCGCATCTGGGACACCAGTACCACGAACAAGTCCCTTTGGAGGACTGGCAAATAGATTTTACTCAGATGCCAGCAAGGGGATGATGGAAAGATCTGGTAGACACCTTCTCGGGGGGAGAGGAGTTCCCCGCTTAAAGCGAGCGAGCTTCCGAAGTGAAGGAGTGAAGGTGCTCGGTCAGGAGAGAATCCCCCTGTGGGCTCCCTGCCGTCTGCAGAGTGATAAGGGGCCTGCCTTTGTAGCGGAGTAACCAGAAAGTAAGGAGCCTTTGTGCACCAAATGGAGCTCCATTCAGCATGGACATCACAGGCCTCAGGAAAGGTCGGAAGAATGAATCAGACGCTGAAAAGGACAATTGCAAAATTGTGCAAAGAAACTCACTGACACTGGGGCCAGACGCTGCCGATGGCCCGGTTGCCAGTCCGAG